CATCGGTACTTAGGCACTTCGCGCACGTCAATGTGACGGTCACACAACTCGCAACTCCTTCAACGTTGAGCTTAACTTCTGCTCGGTGTGAATTTGCATGGAGTTGAGCGTCCATTCAGTTCTTTTCAGAGTCTCAAGGCATGTGTCACCCCCAGTCTGGCCAAACACCTCAGTTCTGGCCAAAAACTTCTATATATATATATATGTATGTATAGAAGTATGAAGATTCAACCTACAGGCAGTGACTAGTTCCGGCCCTATGCGAAGGAGGGACACAGTGTCGTACAACGCTGCCATTAGCTGCTGCGAGCGAGGTTCTGAGTGGCAGCAGGCGGCAGAAACTCGGGCCAAGACAGTCTCTTTCTCTCGAGCTTCGACATCGTTTTTGGAGGCGTTTGCCTGCTAAAAGACGGACGCGCCAATGTGGCCTGCTGGAAAACTGGAAAATGGGTTTTGCAGTTTGCCGAAAGGATGGCCCGCTGCTTCTGTTGAAGGAACTGCCAGCCTTTTCCAGCAGGACTCAGCCAGACGGCATGTCAATTGGGCATCCAGGCAATACATTGAATCATTCCCAGCCGCCCCCAGCCATAGTCGCGAGGTATTTGATTTGAACTTTCATGTCTTCATCGGTTCGTTGGCTGAGGTATGTATTTGCACCCCTGTTTGGTTGGAGTGAGGCGGGGCAACCCACCCCGCAACCGCTCCAAGCCTTTTGGGTGCGAGCCCAAGCTCAGTGTTGAGACGGCCAAGGAGCTGTTTGAGGCCATGGCGGGCCTGCAGGTTGCGAGGAGCACAATCTTCAGCTGCTCGGTTCACACGGGGTGCAACAAAACATTTGCATGGCGCCTTCTCCTCTTGTCAAAGCCGGGTGAAATCCCCCGGGAAGCTCGCGCATTGCATTGGGTTTCAACCTTAGGCCGGCTGCGCGTGTCAAGTCCCGGGTTGTTGGATGGCCGTGGTGGCCATTCGTCTCAGGATTGGAGTGACGCCAATTATGGATATCATGTATTCATTGGGATCGGCCCTGGTCAGAGGCGAAAAAGGTTGAGTTTGTAGTTGGTCACATGCTTGAAGGAACAAAGCGGCAAGCCCCCAGCGAAGACTCCGAGACACTCATCCGTTTCAGCTATTAAGAGAAGTGTGTGTGTGTGTGTGTGCAGCAAAGCCGGAGGTGGCATTTTTTACCCACTGTCATGGAGACAGGGAAGGTACCCTTGCAAGATCTGTTCTTCATTTTACCATGGCTAAATCACCCACGTATCAAGCTCCCCTCCCTGCAAGAGAACCACGAGGAGCTGGGCAATATGATGAATCAGTTTTCCAGCGACGCTGTTTGCGTGGAAGTATACGGTTTCGTTTGCTTGACCGGCCTGAGCGGTTTGTTGAATGGCTGGGTGAATGGCTGACCGGCTGCCTGTTAGGCAGCCAAGCAGCCAGCCAGCCAGCCAGCCAGCCAGAAGTTTGTTGGGCCGCGCTGCTGTCGGGGTCGTCATTGCGTGCGCAGGCGCCGGTGCGAAGCCCAAACAGTTCCGACCCAATTTGACCGCTCATGTTGGAAGCCGACGAAAGGCTCGATGATCAGCGCGTTGGAGAAGGGCAAGCAGTGGCAACTGGCTTTGGGCACAGAGCAGATGCAACACGGCAGAAATGCATTGAGCTGATTGAGTAAGTGCTGGAATAGGACGCCGGGCTGGTTGTTGATTTGTGAATTGCTGGCTCGCTCGCTCGCTCGCTCGCTTGAATGCTTGGGTGTTTCAAAAGACGGCAGAACGGAAGTTAGAGGTTTCCCCTGGGCATGCTCCCTGCAACGACTGAGTAGTCATTCAAAATGCAGTGTGTTTGAATGGGAGCCCTGGAACATCCGCGCAACATGCAATCTTTCGCTCAATGTTGACTCCATATTAATCAACCCCAGTTTGTTGATAGGGGGTGTCCCTGGGTTTAGTGGAGAATCATCACTTTTGGAGGGGAACACCCCCATGTTGATAAACTGGGGATATTAATATGGGGTCAACATTGATGGACACAATTCGACTAATAATTACAACCCGTCCCCAACCCTTCCCAAGAAGCGGCTGCATGCGATCCACTTCAGATTTTCACTGAGATGCAGCTGCCAGTTTGCAGGTCTGCCAAGAGTCTTTCTAAACTGTGGCCCGCCAAGGCATCACTTCAGCGTGGGCCAGGACGGTTGGCTGGTTTGGCATCCTGTTTCTCTTGCCCGACGAAAGGTCAGGTCTCAAGTCTGTCCGCCTTCAAGCACCTTTGCGCCCCCTACGCCCTTTTGCTTGCCTTCACAATGCTTCTTGACTACTAGGTCCCCCAGTAGTGCCCGTTTACCCCCCTACTAAAACAGACTACAGAAAAAAAAGGTACCCTTATTCTAACCTCTCTACTGGAGGACCTAGACTGTGAACCAGGAGCCAAACTTTGCATGATGCACTTGCTCTCCTCCTCGCCATGAATTGAAGCCGCCTTCCTCGGCAAGCACTGGTCGTTGGGGCACATGTGCGGATTTCAAGATGCATTTAAAGTGAAACTGACACCCTGAGTGGATTGACACTTGGCTCCCAAAATGCCACAATGATGCCACTTTGAATTACCCTGCGCAACGACAACTCTGGAAACCAACCAGCTTTGCCTGATGACGGGCAGACAGCTGAGAACATGTGTGAATTGCGCTTCGTCAGTTTTGCATGTTCTTCCCCGTGCCCCCAATGCGAAGTACGCTTTTGCAGAGCGACCGCTCAGCATGGCACAACCCTCATACTGCAGTGGCTGAAAGCCATTGCTCAGCTTCCTCGGAACCGCCCAACAGCATTTGACAACCCTTCCAGCATTGCCCGCACTTGTCTGACAGGGATGGTGTCCTGAAATGTCCTGCTTTGCTGAGGTTTAGTGGTCTTTTTAATGCAGATGTGCCCTTTTGCGCCCTTTTGCGCCCTTTCATTTTCTCGCTTGCCTTGAACCGTTAGGATGTCATCGTGTGGAATGCTGCCATCAGTGCCTGCAACTCGGCTGAGTCGGTCAAACGTTCCCAAGAGGGTTGTTTGCGCATGTTTATGCAAACCGCCAACGGGCTCGTGCAAACAGCATGCACACACACCCAAAATGGGTATGATGGATGTCCTCCTGACAAACTTTGCACTTCTCAAAAGACACCGTGTGCTTTCGGCTCGGGCGAAATTCGCTATGTGCAGATACCACAAGCCTTTATGATCAGCCCACGTTTGGTTTTGTGTGTTTGGGATAAAGGAAGGTGCTTCAAATGTCACACTGCTGATCGTCAACACACTTGTTCCTTGGAGGTTACAAGTTACAGATGGTTATAAGTTGTGTTTTTTTGACCACAAAGCGCTTGCCATTTGGCGAGATACGTTTGTCTTTGGCGGATAGAGGTCCGCTGGCCGGGCTGGAGCCTTTTTTGACACGTCACGGGAACCCACTGCTTTGTTCAGCTGGATGGCGAAGTAGTTTTGGCTTGCTTGGCAAATCTAATCCTCAACAGAGTTCTGCGACAGAGCATCGGGAACGTTGCGCTTACAGGCGGGGGCTTACGTACAGTAAGCTGCCCATCAGAAATCTCAAGGAGTGGTTGGCGTTCAACTGTTTCAGACACACTTTAGACAGGGCTTGCCAGCTTACGCGGGGACATCTTGTTCTACAGCGGCTTGCAATGTTGAGTACATCAGGTAAGCGTCTTGTTTTTGCTGCATCGCTTGGGCAGCGGCGGCTATCACGCTGTTCCCAACATGCTCTCTCGGCCGGCCTGCAGCTTTCGTCAGTGTCCTAGATGCAACACATGGATCTCAAAAGCTATCAAACTCCATGCCGCATCCATGCACTTCCTTTGTCAGATGTAGTACTGCCTGAGCTCGGGCGTGATGTTGTTTCAGCTTCAATGTTCATTGTTTCGAGTCCTTGGTGGGGGCCCGGGGCCCGGGCCCGGCTCGAAGAGCGCCGATGGATGCCATGCCTCGCGCCATGGTGCGCTTCCTTGCTGCCCTCGTGGTTTTAGAGCCTGGCATTGGCAATAAGAGCGGGTTTGGGGCTTGAAGACTCGATGTGCAGGCGGCAGCCCGAATCCCTAAGACCCACTGGGCGGGCGATTTTTTGGGCAAGGGACGGGGGCAAGCATCTTGATCAGTTGAAGCCTTTGTGGTGGGTTACCCGATCAGCCTGCTGCTGATGGTGTTTGCTGGTGGTGCTGGTGGTGGTGGTGGTGGTGGTGCTGGTGGTGATAATGATGCTGCTGATCATGATGAATGATGATGAGGATGATCACGATGCTGATGCTGATGCTGCGGATGATGATGCATGATACTGATACCGATTCTGGTACTTTTATCAACTGAGAATTTGGTTTGCTGCACATCTACGACAGAGAAGATGCCAATTGAATTGATATCGTGACTTCTGTCGACGGATTTGGATACGCTTAGATGTTCAGCAATGCTTTCAACAACTGTGGCTCTACCCCTTGTCAAGCAACCACCACGCACCCAAGTACCTTTCTCAGTTGTTTTTGGGGGGGTTCACTCATACAGCGTTTCCTTCATTTACCTTTTAGAACCTCCAGCAGTGGCAGTTTTGGTGGACACCACCAGTAAAATAATCAACTTTTGACTTGCGGACTCACATATTTGATCCCTCAATCTGGTGGTTGTCCTTTTGGTTTCCGTAAAAGACCCACCCAAAACAGGCACATTGTTTTCTCATTTTTGTTTTTGCTTTAAAGAAGAAGAAACACGCTACATCATTCATCCAACCCGAAAAAGAAGAAAGACGAGCCACCCATATTTGTGAGACTCACCTAATTACCCAAGGCAGGTATCGCGGCACCACCCCGAAAAAAAAAAAAAAAAGAAGGAAAAACAAGTAAAAAAAAAAAGAAAAAAAAGACGAGCCACCCATATTCGCGAGAACCACCCACCCCAAACAGCTACAGGCACCAACCCGAATTTGTTGGACGAGCCACAAGCGTGCGCCGGGCACCAAAGGACGTCGCCCGTGCCCACGAGCCGAGCGTCGACGTCATCGTGGTGGGCGCGGGCTACAGCGGCCTGGCGGCGGCGCTGGAGCTGAAGGCTGGGTCGGTCGGGGGTCTTCACGCCGCTTTTTGGATCGAGTCCGTGTTTTTCCTGTCCGGCTCAAGTGTTTTTGTTTTTCATTGGTTGTTCCCCACCCGACAGGAAGGGGTTGTTAGATTTTATGCTGGAATCCGCGTTTGCGATGCTTCTAAACCACGCCCCCACCCAGTTTCCCGCTAGAGCAGCTCGCCAGTGGATCCCGCCGAGTATCCCGCCAGAGCTGCTCGCCAGTGGATCCCGCCGAGTATCCCGCCAGAGCTGCTCGAGTGGATCCCGCGAGTATCCCGCCAGATGATCCCGCCAAGTATCCGGGATCCCGCCGAGTATCCCGCCAGAGCGGCTTGCCATTGGATCCCGCCCAGTGTCCCGCCAGAGCGGCTCGCCAGTGGATCCCGCCGAGTATCCCACCACAGCCCGCCAGCATCCCGCCGAGTATCCTGCTGAGTATCCCAGAGTAGCTCGCCGGCGGGTCCCGCCGAGGATCCCGCAAGAGTACCTCGCCAGTGGATCCCGCCGAGTATCCCGCCAGAGCAGCCGCCAGTGGATCCCGCGAGTATCCCGCTCAGAGTAGCTCGCCAGTGGATCCCGCCGAGCACCCTGCTGAGTATCCTTTGCCGGTGGATCCTGCCGAGTATCCGGCCAGTATCAAGCCGGAGCGGCTCGCCAGTATTTGCCAGTCGATCCCGCCAGTATCTCGCCAGAGCAGCTCGCCAGTCTGGTTTTGCTTAATGTCCCGCCCGGCGCACAGTTGGGTTGACATTTCACGTTGGTGCCTTCGTGCTTTGAGTGTACCCTGAGGCTCGGAAAGGGTGATGCTGTTGCGTTGCTTTGGGCTGCGAATAAGCAACTTCGTTTAATCCCCCGTCGGTTTTTTTTTGGAAGGGGCTTGGCTTTTGTTAACGGAACCGATGTTTGAGTTCTCAAGATCGGCTCGCATACAAGTGGAGTTTGACACACAGACAGGTGGATAAGGAAGCTTGTTGAGCAGTCGCAGGCCCCAAGCCACTCGAAAACCATGCTTGAATTCACACAACCGTGTTCACGGTCGCAAGCTCGTGAGTGTGGAGGGTGGGGATTGCTCGAAGCGAAGTATTGTTGGGTGTTTGTTTTTTTGGTGTTTCGGCGTTGTTCATGTTTTGTTGTTTATATATACTGTATATATGCTTGTGTCGGTTCTTTTCATTTTAGTAGGGGGCTGCAAACAACAGTGAGTTATTTTGCTACCATAGCAAGGGTTGTGGAGATGTTGCAAGTTATGGAAAATGGAGAATGTTCAAACTTCGACTCACTTCCTGAGTTCTGTTTCGGACTTTGGTCACTTTGTGGGCTGCCATTTTGGTGGTAAATGGGCAAGTGCAGATTGTTTTCTGGCAAATCCACTCAGGAAGTAAGTCGAATTCCGAATTGGAATTGGTTGGAAGATGGAGGATGTTGGAAGCTCCGCTTGTTGTTGAGGCCACTTTGTCCGACCAAACTCGTGTGACCTCTCAAGAGTTGTTGTTTTTCTTGTTGGCACAGTGATGTTTGCGTAGAACCTAAGGAACTACTCAACATCCCTGGCTGCTGGGTATCAAATTCCCATCCAGGAGTTCCCCTTGCCAGGAAGATTGGGCTTGTGATGCTTGGCTTCCTATTTCTTAAGGATAATTGTTCATTTCCCGCTGGTTTTAAAGTGAATCTATCACTACCGGAACTTGACTGCCACTGGGATGGATCTTTAGGTGTTCCACGAAACTCACCAAAAGTTGTCAACGTTTGGCATGGGGGTCAACAGCAACAAAGGGAACCTTGTGATTTTTTCAGGCGCGGAAAAAAAAATAGAACAACTTGGGGCTCCGCCCCTACCACGCCGCAGGCGCTGAACCACTCCTTCCTGGTGCTGGAGGCGCAGGGCCGCGTTGGCGGGCGCACGCTGAACCAAGACGTGGCTTGGCAGTTTTGTTTTCCTCGGCTCGTTTTGGAGGATTCTAGGTGCCCTTTCTCGCCCCTTTTTTGGGGGGAGGGATTGAAGGCCCGACCCCTCCAATAGATACCCCGGAGGGATTTTTGGGGGGTCTCAAGCCCGAAAGACATCAGAAGCCTCTGGGTGACTGGTTGGCCATGTAGCCTTCCTCACAGTTTTGGGCCGATTCATTGGCGACTCACGGGCCATTTTGGGAATTGCATTGCCGTTGCGGATGCTCCCTCTTATTCTTGCTTGGTTCACGTACCATGCCTGCGTGTGTCTTGCATAAACCCTGCTTGGTGGATCTTGCGCATGGAGCAAGGTGCCAGAATGTTCCGCGTTCCACTTTTGGATGCTGCACACCTTTCATCCAGGGCCTACTATTTTGCACCGGCTGCCAGGTCCCATCCTTTTGCCATGCTTGCTCTATCTCCTTGATGTGCCGCAGTGATAAACATGTGCGGATCAAATACTGTACGGCAAGCGGAACGGAGTCGGAACACCCCACGCATGATGAACATTGCTTCGGTGGGCAACTTGTCGTTATTATCAGATTGATCGACTGAATGAATTGGACAGGGGTTTGTTTGCATAGGTCTTGGTTGGGCTGTGAACGTTTGCTGAGCAAAATATGTTTGCCGCGACTACCCTATTTTGCTTCCCCATCATGTTCCATGCGCGCAAAGGACAAGCTAGACAAGGGCTGCACTGTGAGAATCACCCCCCTCCCTCAACCTGAAAGGGCCGAGCTTTGACGATAGTCACATAGCAAGGCTGGCTTTATGAACAGAGAAAACGACTGGACGGAGGAAGGGTTGACCGAGAGGCCTCAAGCGAGAAAACCGCGTTGGCCAAGGTGGGCGGCCGGGGAATGGCGGATGACGTGGTGGAGCTGGGTGGGGAATGGCTGGCAACGAGCCACGTCCACGCCATCAAACTCTTCAAGAGCCGCGGCTTCGAACTCTTTCACCGGCTCTTCAACGCGAAGAAGGCCGGCTCGAGGGAAATTTCGGTTTTTCCAGAGCGGGAAGCATCTTGAGTTGCTAGTTGAATTGGACTGCTTTGTTCTTTCCGGTTTGTACCAGATGGGAAATCACGTCAAGTTACTTGAATCGGAAGATGCTTCGTTCTTTTGCCACTTGCTGGCTGTTTCTTGCAGGGAACCGTTAACCCGTTTAAGACGGGTCCTTCAACCTGCGGGGTTTGCAAAATGGCTGGAGAAGCTGACTTGACTTCGTGGATCTTTGGGGGCTGGAAAGGCATTGGGGTTGCTTCCGCACACCGAGGACCCTGAGCATGTTGATTGCATTCAATTGCTATGGCTGCAATGGATCTTCTAAATCGATTTGTGTTTGAATCATAATTTATTCACATCATTTCATGCATACAATATGTAGTATGTTTTGCTTCATCTAGAAGTTCTTTTGGCTCCCATGTACAAATTACATATGCTCGGACGACTGTGGCCCGTTCGGAGCTTGCAGATTCCATCGGCTGTATCCGCGCCACTCGTTCTGTGGAGGACTCCGCGACGCCTCCGTGCGCTGGGAACTGCAGCGTGCGGGTGCGCGCCACGCAAGGCGACGAGTGGCAACTTGGGATCCCCGTCGGGGATCAAACGCGGAGTTCAGACCTTGTGGAAAGCACATAGGCGTTGTAGGGGCAAAATGGATCGAGTTTGGGGTTCCGCAACCTTTTTTCCCTGGAGTCTCAGACCTCCTTGTCGAAAGCACGTACGTGTTGTATGGGCAAAATGAAGTTTGGGCTCCGCAACTTCCTTTCCTGGCTTGCGGGTCATGGTGCAAGCGAGGTATTGCCTTCTGGGTTCCATTGTGCGTTTGATGATGCGGATGATTTCAAGGTTCTGCGTCGTTGCCTCACAGGCATCCCTTGTCGTTTGTCACGTGCTGCTCGGAAAGTCAAGAACGTGATGTCATGCTGTGTTTTGTTTTTAAGGAATGATTGGGGGCTTGTTGAGGGAGGTGGGTTGTGTTTTGCAATCGAAACTGGATTGGCGTACCGCATCCCACTTACTATTGAACCTGGCAAAGGATGTGCCTCCTCCGGGATCGCTCCCTTAGCATCATTTGGTGCATGCGCTACAAAGGCCTTCTTGCAAGGCATGACGTGTTAGGACGGCAAGTGGCTGTCAAGCATACATAGACCCAATGACAATCGTCCAAACAAAATCACGGAGCTTTCTTTGAGGGAACGAGCATGTCACCAAGGTCTGAGCCAAAACAGACAAGTTTCTCCTTGTTTCTCCTGAATGGCCGAGTTAGAGCACGCACATTGCTGCCACACTGGTCTTGAAACCGTCCTTGGAGGCAGAGCGCGGACACGCCACTGCGACAAAGCGTAGGTTGGCGCAAAGAACCAGAACCTCTGCACGTGAATTTCCGGCCAAGCATGAAAAACCTGACAGGGGCCTTGAGGGAAGAGTGTGTCAAGCAGTTGCCTAGTGTCCGCGTCAGTGCGACGGCCAATGTTGACCCTATATTGATCAACCCCAGTTTGTTGATAGGGTGCGTGTGAGCTGGAATTAGCGGGGAATGATCACTTTTCCCCCATATTGATAAACTGGAGTTGGTTAATATGGGGTCAACATTATTCAATCGCCGGATTTCCAGGGCAAGGCTTGTGGCTGCAGAGATCCATGCCAGGCTGGAGGAACGTGTCGTCTCCGGACATGGCGGTGAAGCTGCTCAGCAAAGGCGAGCTGGCGCGCTTCTTGGCCAACTCCGGCCTGCCGGCTGGTCAATGGCCCGCCTGCTTTGAGAAGATGCCAGTACCAAGCTCAAACCACCCAGTTGCCCAGTGGATTCCGCCCCTTTTCCAGCTTTTTGGCTGGAAAGGTTCTCCCTTTAAAATCAACCAACCACTGGGCATCTGAGACCAAGGCTGAGCCTCTTTCGGTCATTTCCTTTTTGGGCAACCTCTGGACAGGTTTGAGCGGCTCAATGAACCGGGGAGAAAAAAGAAAAGAAAACCCGAGCCACGTTTCTCCAGACTTGAGAATTCCTGCATGGAAGCCATGACCATGTGCATGACACTGGCAGATTCAAATTTGTGGAGCTGTGCGATTTTTTGGCATTTGTTTAGTAGCTTCCAGATGATGGTTGGTGTGTCCAAGACAAGAGATACAAGAGATACAAGAGAATGCCGTTGCAGAGTTCTCGAGAGCCATTTGGCTTTGTTGGAGACTGCGCGGCCTTGCTTTTGCGTGCACTGTCCCTCGCAGGAAGAATTGGCACAAGGAAGATGTCCCGTGTTTAGTGACGGGCACAGTGGGATGCCAAACTAACTGCTTTAGCCACCCTTGTTGAGCGTCGATTTCTCTAATCCACAGGCCTCTCCACAGTCAGTGGCATTGGAAAACAGCCCGGCGTAGAAGTGACTCATGACATTCGCAAGCCACAAGGTTCTCACGACCAAACCAGATGTTCTCCAGGTTACCTCATGTCAGACAAGGAGGTGCAGCGGGAGATTGCGCGGACGCCGTGCGGGGCACCTTTTAGCAACCCCAACGCCAGCATCCTGGACTCGTTATCCTACGATGCCGCTCGCACAACAAAAGAGCATTGAACGCTTTCTGGCGCTGGGACGCCTGCGAACATGCCTAATTAGTTGCATGGGCTCGTCATGGTGACCTTGGAGTTGTGTGGGAGTTGAGCAACTTTGTGGCGAAGCCATGCCCCTGCGAAGTGAGAGCTTCATTGCGATTAGCAGTGGTTGAAGCAGCTTGGCCCCCCTTGTTAGAACGCGCGCAGATTTTAGACGCGCAGGTTGTGTATTCGCAGTGGGCATGTCAGGCCTACCTTCGGCTGGTGAGGGGCCTGTCTGGGTCCCCGATGGCATACAACCTCCTCTACGACTATGCGGATGATGCTGAAGCCTTGAGCTTTGGCTCACAGTTAGGTCGTAGAGGTTTGACCCCATATTCATCAACCCCAGTTCATTCATAGAGAGCAGGGTTCCACTTTTTGACTGCCCATAGACTCGAACCCGGGGCTTCTCCTTCTTGGGGTAATGAAAAAAAAACCTGGGTTTAAGTCGACCCTGGGGTAGTCAAAAAGTGGAACCCTGGGGGGGGAGGTGTCCCTGGCTTTAGGGGGGAATCATCTCTTTTGGAGGGGAACCCCCCCCAAAAAAAAAACTGGGGTTGATTAATATGGGATCAGCATTGGGTCAACTGACGCTTGACCTTTGATGCAGGGCAGCGGGCATGAGCTCACAGAGCATGTTGATTATCATGTTTCAAAAAGTGTGCTTAGCAGGGATTCCTACTGCCTAGCCTACTAGCCAGTGGTCCAGGGTTGTTGTTAGAGGGTCTGAGAGGGATGCAAGCCGCTTGAAAGCAGCACGAGTGAGTTCATTTGAAGCTCCTGCATGACTTGTGAATGCAAGCACGTTGGCCAGTGGAGGCGAGTGCTGACTGCATGTATCTCACTTGCTGGAATAGTGCCGCTTTCCTTGTTTGTTATGGTATCCAGGTGGTGCGCTTTCAATGTTTGGCTAAGGAACCCATGTGATGTAAGGGACCTTTGCTGAGAAAGAGAGTTGCTACACGCGACATATTTGGATAAAAAGTGTCGAATTTCCCAGTTGTTCAGTTCAACAAGAATACCGAACACCCTGGAAGTACAGGCCGTTCAGCTGGCCAACTGCAAGGCATACTTGTCTTTGGTGAGAGGTCCATGCTGGCCTCAGCCTCGGCCAAGCAGTAAACCTCTTGAACCTGGATTCCAACCAAACCCAACCCACGCGGCCCTACGAAAGCCCTAAGGCAGATAAGGAGCAAAATCAACCTCCAGACCGGGTTGACATTTCTTGCTGGTGCTCAGTAGGGAAGGACCCGGGTTTTTTTGGGAATGAACCCAGGGATTCCCTTAAAGGAAACCATAGCCACTCCAACTCATTCCCTGCTGAGAACCAGCAAGATTGAATCAGTGGAGCTCCTTGCAGGACCCAGATGTCCG